CCCTTTGCGCCATCCACGGAATTTCCACCGCGTCCCTATTGCTATCGGAGAAGTGTTCCCTGCGCAAGGATCGGAGGTCCAGTTCATTTCTACCCTTCACTAAAAGGTACAGATACTCCTGTGTCTTCTTTTTTTCCTTAATTTCTTTCTTAATCATATGATTTATGAACACTTTCAGGTTTATGTTTCTCCTTAGAATATTCCATTTTGTTTCTCTCGTCCACGAACCGTTTGGGAGTTTTGGCTGCAGTGCGCTTCCAATCGGATGCTCCCCTTTTTTGAGCATGTTGTGGTTTAAACCCCCTTGTGTGTGTTGTTGGGTGTGTAATCCTCTCTTACCCATGTTTTGTTTGGTGTCTTTCCTGTCTTCCTGCTCATTATTTTTTCCGACTTTGTTTTGCTGCTTTTTCTCCACCTCCGCGTCGTGTCCTTTCCGATCGCTCCTTTCATCCCCATTCTGTGCGACCTCATTTCTATTCCCGTCGTTTGACAAAATATATTCGTGCTTGTAAGGTGGACCTTTCTCCCCTGACTCACAAAAATTTGTAAAGGCATTTTCGTGTCTCTTTGGCTCACCCTGGTGGCGGCACCCATCGTCTTTCCTTTTATCTTCGATCACGTTCGTGCAGTTCCTATTTGCAGGAGTCTTATTCGCAACGTCAACGGATGAAGTTTTCTCCCTTTTGCTATACCTGGAGGTGACTTTCAACGTCTTGACTATAACTTCTTGTATGACTTGTTCATACGCATTGTTTTCGTGCCTCTCCTCTAAGTTGCCCTTTCCAAATAAATTCTTCTTTCCTGACATAGAGGAAACGTTTTCACGAGTCTGAAGCAGCGGGACATTGCTGTACGATCGTTTGTCATCAATAGGACGTGTTTTAGCTGCCTTGTTCATACATTTTTGGCAATCCTGACTTTGGGGAATTTGTCCCGTTGTGGTTACTCCATTTGTTACTTCCTCTTCTTCTTCCTTGGTGGGATTTACGAGATGGCAATTTTTATTTGTACTTTTCAAAGAAGAATTTGTTTGTACTTCATTCATCTCAGTTGCGCTTTCTCCTGTCTGCCGATTCCTCCCATCACTTCCATGCTTAGTTGTGATGGCATGATCACAATCAATATGCCCCGCATCGAGTTGTTCGGTTTTTACTTCATCGAGGGGGTTATTTGTTGTCCCTTGTTCTGATGTCTCCTTCTGTTTAGTTGTGATATCTGCCTTTTTAGGCACTTCTGCAAGTTCGTCTTCACCGACGGGGTGCGCCCGTTTGGGATCTTTGATCAAACATATTGGGGAAAAGGGTTCCTTCCCCCTCGAGGGCACTTCCCCGTCGTTGTCACTCCTTCGGTTGTGGCCTACTTGAAGTTCCTCTAACCCTAGTACGTCATTTCCCACGAGCCCGTGTGCACTTTCGCTAAACGTGGTCATATTCGCCTGTTCCTGGAGATCGCTTCCATACGAATTTTTGCCTGAAGTTGGATCATCATCCGTGTGGTCAACGCTGGTAGGAGGCATAAGGGGGATATTGAAATGGGGATTTCTCCTAGTTCGGTTGGTACCATTTCCAGGAATCGCCTCATCTAACCAACCACTGAACCGCAGCTCTTTGTTGTGGAGTCTTCGCACAGGAGTGCTACACGGAGAGAGGCTCATCTCGTTCCCGATGGGGCAATCGGAGTTACTAAAGTATTGTCCTTCATTCGAAATTTTTTTTTTTTTTTTCGCCATAAATTTGTTAAGGTATTGAAATGCTAATCCGTCATCACTTGTCCCTTTTGTGGATCCATCCGCCAACTGGGTTGCCAATGCACCTGTTATGTGACTCGAATAGACGTTACTACTTTTCCGTCTCGCTTTGGCATTTTTTAAAAATTCAAAATTTATGTACAGATTTTTTTTTTTTTTTTTCAAGTTCTCTTCCAAAATGGCTGACTTGGATTTCTTAAAAATGGGATGATAGGAATTCTCCTTAGGTTTATAATTTTCAGAATAAAAACAAGTCCTAAGTTCTTGGGGCAAAAAATGCAACCCTTGAATGGTGTTATTTAGGATCTGCATGGAATGAATTAAGTTTTTAAGACCAAAGATATATTCATCATCCACCGATGGGTTATCTTGCAAATAAATGGTATTGGCAAAATCTATCATTCGTATGTCTAGCGAATTTGACCTCGCTTTTTCATCATTTAGTCCGCCATCAAAAACCCAGAGAAGGGAAGAAGACCAGAAGCGGTAGTGTCGTAACTCCACTATGCAGTTAAAAAATCGATGTAATTTTTCTAGAAGTAATGGAATCAATTCGTCGTACAGTAAGATACCATTTCCAAACCAATTTCGAATTGCCCATGGGATGTTTTCCTTTGTTAAATTTCTACCCCAATATTTATCTTTATAAAATAATTTGTCATTTATTTTGTTGTAATGTTGGCAACCGCATAATCTAAATCCTAGAGAATGGCTAGTTGTCCTAAAGCTTTTTTCTACTTGTCTTTTTCTTTTTTCTAAGGAGGCACCTATTTTTCTTTGTCTTTTCCCCATTTTGATGTCCAGCACACATGGTCGCTTAAATCCATACACGAGATCTTCCAACACGATGTGCGGAATGCATTTCTTTCGCTTCTTCCCCTTGGCGCACTTGTCACTTTTCGTGTCTTTTTCTCCCTTTTCGGGCTCGCCCTGAGGCGGTTTGGCTATCGGCTGGTTTGGCAGCTCGTTTGCCGATTCGCTTGCAGCTTGATCCTCCACTTTGTTTGTCTGATCGCGCCCGCCCAAACTGAAATATTTCCGACCCTTACTACCACTCAGCTCAATTCTCCTTCTATGTTTGTTAAGTAAGTTGTCCTCCATCTCGGACGACGAGGAATACTCAACGACGATTTCAGTCACTCCATAAAACTTGGGGATGAATTTTTTCAAAATGTGTAACGGACCCGACTCCGCGGAAGACGCTCCAAAGTTCGTTAACTTCTCATAGAAAATGTATTCATTTTCTATAAGGGGTTTGTACACTTTCGATGAGTCTTTCGGTTTTATCAGTTTGCAGTGGCCCCCAACCTGGTGCCTGTACTCTTCGACTCTCATTTTGGGTGCGCGCGGGGAGAAGAGCACCGGCGAGATGCACAGCGAGGTGAGAATTACGCCGCTATATGACGCAACGCAGTTTTGCCACTGCGCCGTGGTGTGCCACCCGAGCGCCTGACCGTGGGTGGCCAATTAAAAAATTCCCTGCACAGATTGTTCTGCGCTCCCAAGTGATTCGAAGGGGGGATGGAATGAAGTGACTTTCCTTTTTATTACTCCTACTGTAATTGTAATTGTTCTTTTTTTTTTTTTTTTTTCCTTCTTTTTTTACATTTTGTGCCGCTGGAGGATAGTCAATTTGTCAACCTAGCACCATTTTACGGTTATAATTTGTCTCCCCGCTTATTTTCGGAGTGCGTGACTCAGTGTCATAACTCTCAGCAGGTGGGCATACATGAATGCTTATATGTATACAGGAATGTACACGAGTTTTTTTTTTTTTTTTTTTTCCTTCTCCTTATGGGGCGCAAGATTTGATTAGCTGCCACTTCCACCTGGATGTCATTTATGCTAACATTCGCTTTCACGTTCTCGCGTCGATCGCATAGACATCTGCGTCTGACGTTAACCTAGGACGGGGTGGCTTTTCCCCACATGGTTTCATTCGAGTTCTTTTCTCACAGGCGCACAGAGGTCACATTAGCCGTGTACATACTAGATCTACGAGTACACATGAGGAGATACCCAGGTGGAAGCACACAGTGGTACATATCTGTATGGGTGTTCCCTTATAGGTACACTTGAAATGCTCGCTGTTACTCTACTCTTGCCAGAGGGGGATATACATAAACACAAATGGGAGTAATAGGTTCCACAGAGTATGCTTCCCTATGTCTTTTGGTTGATTCGTTTACCTTCGCTTTATGTAGGCGTGTAAATAATTTACAAAAATCGTGGGTTGTAACGAGGTATACCTTAAAATGGGTGCGTAAAAAAAAAAAAAAAAGAAAAAAAAACAAAAGAGGAGGGAAATAGTTTAAAATGTGAAAATGTTCTGACTGTTCATAATTTTTTCAACAATGAAGTGGAAAAAATAAGCTAAAAAAAAAAGCTAGAAAAAAAAAAGCTAGAAAAAAAAAAAGCTAAAAAAAAAATAGCTAAAAAACAGTTTAAAAAGGATAAGTCCAAAAGTGACACAAAACAGAGAAACATCAAAATGGTGAAACATAACGTTAAATGAACGTTTTACCCATTTGAAAATGCAAAATGTGAAAGTAGAATTTTTTTGCTTTCATAATGATGCATCATTTCTCATTTGCGATTTTTTCTTTAATCGTACGCATGGTAAAATGGTTTCCTTTTCGTTTAATAAAAATATTTTTCTTTTTTTGTTTTTTTTTCATTTTTTTCTCTCTGAAATTTTTGTCGAGCGTCTATGCAGAAAGGCGGGACACATTTTGCATGCTCCAAAATTTGAAGTTGAAATGTCACTTCTTTATCCGTTAAGCAAAAAAAAGAAATAAAACGTGTACCCTACGTTGTACGTTCCGTCGCTTTGGGCATCGCTGTATTGTTGGCAGTCTTCGCGCTGCATGTAACAAGTACAAAACGTGGGGTCATGAAAAAGAAAAAAACAAAAAAAGCAACCACTAATTTTACGAATACACGCAGGTAGGCGCACATGCGTTCATGCTGACATGTGGAGTGTGCCCAAACTGCATGATGGGCACTGTCCTCATGGAGTTCGGATAAATAAGAACTACACATTGCCAGCTGCGAAAAACGAGCTATGAACTACGAAGTGGGAAGTAGCAAGTGCGAACTACTAAGTATGAACTGCTGACGCGGAGCTATGGATGCAGTTCTACCTACACAACGCGGCGTCCTTGTCCCTTTTTCACGTGGGGCATGTATAACACCTCGCTGTGTAGAGAGCAATCAAAGTGAGGTCTCTCCATTAGCTTTCTTCACACATTTATGCGTACTTCTCATACACACGTCGCCAACACCCCTGGACCTTGTGCACCCCCGGCGATACTTCACAAAATTGCCATAATTTGCTTTTCCTTCCATTTGATTGTATCGCCACCAGAAGGAAAAAAAATAAAGTGAGAAAGATAAAGTAAAAACGTTTACTCCCGTACGCATAATGCGTTTCCAAATAATCAAAAAAATTAGGAAATAAAAAAAAAAAAATAATAATTCCAAATGGTCCCTTCTGATGTGTACGAAAATGCGAATAGACATATCTCTCTACAGTTTGTATTTTATTTTTTTTTTTGAGAAATTTCCCATTTTGTCCGTCCCCCCATTTGTACTGTAAAGTTTACCTCGAGAAGGATGAACGCTAAGTAGCTACTAGCCAGTGTTCTCCACATTTGGGCGTACCCCTCCAGTGTGTATTCCCCCTAATGGTGCGGAAGGCAATCCAATTAGCAAATCCAGAGTGGTACACTGCATGGATCCTCCACCTGTAAAGAAGCGAGAATTTTCTCTTTTCCACATAATACCCTGTCAAAGTTTGCTGCACCTAAAACGAGTTGTGCGATTATTACAACGGGGCGGATTTCACATGATTCTATCCCATGTGGGAATCTGTTCTGTGAGTATAGCTTCTCATTTTACACTCCCTCTAATTTTTTTCTTTGAATTGCGAAATGGATGGAACCCCCGAGTGTCACTCCGTCTTTGTGAAAATATGCACACATGGAAAGTAACTATATGAAAAGCCAAATTGGGAAAAAAAAAAAAAATACACAACGGGAAAAGGTGATATCTATTCATTTTTTCACCATGTATTGCTAATGCCAAAAAGGAATAAATACGAAACGAGGCAAATGTACAAAATGAAAGTAATTTCAACATTCCTCTTTTCCCTTTTTTTCTTTTTTTTGCCATATATGTGTATCACTCCATTGGGATGAACAAAGAGGGAAGACCCACGTATCGGTTACGTCAATTTGATGCTCAAAACGAAATGCAATTCGCACACCTCGTTTTGTTCCCTCCCTCTTGGTGATCTAAATGTATGCAGGCCGTTTCATTTCCCGTATACAATCGCAAAATGGAAGAAAAGGAAACCATTTGCGATCATCGTAGCGGCTCCGGTGACGTGAACACTGCTATGCGGACGAGTGGACGGGGGAATGTACACGTGTGCACATGAAGGAGGCGTCGCTGGGAAGTAAATTTTAACAAAATCTATGAGTAAAAAAAAAAAAAAAAGGAAAAAGAGGGAGTTTATAAGTATAGGATACACAGTACCACTGACACTGCTGTGATGGCACCCCACAAAAAATCGCACTCATCAGGTGTAAGGACAAAGGATATGCTCCAAAGTGTAGATAAAAAAAATCGCGAGTTGTAAAATGTAGAAAAATAAAATATTTTAAAAAAATAAGAATGGCAAAAAAGAACGTTCACACCTTTTTATGTATCTGCATATGAAGTTATCCCACTCGGCCTGACTGTTGTCCGTTTCTACATTCTTTGTTCCTACGGCCTGTTCTGCCAAAGGTTGGCGGTAAAATGAGCGGCCAAGACTGAATTGATATTTCACTTCGAAGTGTTTCGAGGCATTTCGAAGCATTTAGAAGCTTTTCCAAATTTTCTTTTTTTCTTTTTTTTTTTTTTTGTGGATGGCTCCCCGTTGTCATTCTTTTCTCCCCCACTTTGTGATACTCGTTCTGCGGTACAATTGTCTCATTTGTCTGAAAGTCCTTTTTCCTTTTATCCAAACTGGCACTCATCCGGAGTTAAGTCCCACAAGTACACGCAGGGAGAAGACGCGGTGTGAACGCCTGGAAGATTAAACAAACCCGTGGGTACACTTCAACGCGCGCATGTCCACGCCGATAAGCATACAGAGGAATCTTCTCAAAATCGCCGAGCTGATCAAAATGGAATGCGTCAGGAAGGAAGAGCCCAAGTACAAGTTGGTGAAACTCATCGGCAAGGGCACCTTTGGGAAGGTCTATTACGCTATTGATCTGTGCACGCAGGAGCCCGTCGCGATTAAGCGGTCCCCCAAGTGGTATGAGAAGTGTACCATATGTGCGACGTGTGGGAAGCGCAACAGGCCGGCATTAATTTGAAATTGCGCCGTTTGACAGGTCTTCCCCGCAACCAGATGTGGGGACACTTGTAGACAGACCTACTGTCAGCTTCAAATGTGCCTCGCCCCTCCCAAATGTGCCTGGCTCCCCCAAATGTGCTTTGCCCCCACCTTTTGTGCCTCCGAACCAGGAGGAACAAAGTCTCGAGAGAAGTCGACCTCCTGCAGAAGATGCAGCACAGCGAAAACATAGTAAATTTAAAATCCATTTTTTACACGACGACGGAGAAGGGCTTTCGTATACAGAACATTGTCTTCAAGTACATGACATACAGCCTGGGAAAGTATATCCGATTTAAGAGGCAGGAAAAGAAGGAAAACAAGTGAGCACAAAAAAAAAA